GTTGTATTTATAAATATATATACACAAATATGCACAAATAGGTATGTAGTAACAACTAAGAAAAAAGAGGTCATAAATTTGAAAGAGAGTAAGAGGTATGTGTATGTGGGGGTTGGAGGGAGGAAAGGGAATGAGGAAACGATGTAGTTAAATTGTTATCCTTGTATGTCTGTATAATGAGTAGGCACATGGATGCTAGGGCATGCTTGTGGAAGCCAGAGGACAACTTTGGTATTGATCTGGGACTAGAGAGCACATGCTTTTAAGGATTGAACTATCTCTCTAGTCCCAGCTCAATGCCATGTCTTGTATGTTCTCACTTGCCTTTCTGGTCTGCTTTGTAAGAAGACCTTTTTAATTGTGAAGCCTGTGTCTTAGACTGCTCAGTCTGCAAAATAAGAAATAAACTTTGAAAAATTACTAAATGTTGGTCAGGCATGATGGTCCATGCCTTTATTTATTTTTATTTTTTATTTTTTGGTTTTTCGAGACAGGGTTTCTCTATAGCTTTGGAGCCTGTCCTGGAACTAGCTCTTGTAGACCAGGCTGGGCTCACACTCACAGAGATCCACCTGCCTCTGCCTCCTGAGTGCCAGGATTAAAGGCGTGTGCCACTACCGCCCAGCTGGTACATGCCTTTAGTTCTAGCATTTGGGAGGCAGAGGTAAGGAGGATCTCTATGATCTATAAAAACCCTAGGACAGCCAGAACAATATACAGGCCCTGTCTCAAAAAATAAACAAAAAGAGCTAAGTTATGAAGTTTTGTCGTTGCAGAAGATGATCTAACACAACTGGATGACGTCAGACTCTTGAAGGTAGGGGAGCAGAAAGTGAAAAGGACTAAATGGTCCTGGCATTGGAAGTTTAGTGAGAGGAGAGATGAATTCTGACAAGAAACTTGATGCATTTCTTTGACTAAAATTTAAGGGAAATATGTCCTTGGCACTCAGAGAATGTGGGTATTGAGCCAGGAGTGCTGATGCTGAGTTTCAATCACAGCAGGAGGCAGAGACAGACAGCTCTATGAGACTGAGGTCACAGTGAGACTGTCTCAAAGCACCAAAAACAAACACAACTACAAAATAAGTTTTATGAAAATAGCCTTATGAAATAAATGTGGGTATGGAAAAGTCATACACACACACACATATATATATATATTACATAAATTATAAGATTGGTACAGGGGCACACCTATATTATATATATAGTCTCCGTCTTTGGAAGGTGGAGGCAGAAAGACCAGGTCTTCTTCAACAGCATAGGAAGTTTGAGGCTATTCTGGGATATAGGTAACCTAGTATGGGAAGTCCTTCTGTATATATGTTGCTTTTATCGGTTAATGAGTAAAGAAGCTGCTTTGGCTTGTGATAGGGCAGAATAGAGCTAGGCAGGAAAACTAAATTGAATGCTGGGAGAAAGCAGGCAGAGTCAGTGAGAGGCCAGGTAGCCACCAGAGGAGAAAGACACAAGCTGGTATTTGGATCCTTGCCTCATAGTAAAATATAAAATAATAGAATGGGTTAATTTAAGATATAAGAGCTAGCTAAAAATATGCTTAAGCTATTGGCCAAACAGTATTGCAAATAATATAGTTTCTGAGTGATTATTTCCGGTCTAGGTAGCCGGGAATCAACAAGCAGCTTCTGCCAACAGCAACCCTTTCTCCAAAAAAAAAAAAAAAAAAAAAAAAAAA